AATAATGTTACCACCCTTTTAACTCATTTATCTAAGAACATTTTCTGTAATAATCAATTTACATGAGATACTGTAAGTCAAGAGATAGTAATTAACTGTAAATGTACTAGGTTTATTTTTGCAGCATTATCTGGTGTCAAAACATGAGAACATAAGAAAGCTTACAAAAATGAGAGGAGGCTATTTGGCCAATCTAGCCCACTTGGTAATGAAACCAGAAATGTTTCATTACATAAAAGGTGTTGCTGTAGTCAACAGGATTTTTACATTATAGACAGACAATAGAATTTAATACTACACACAACTTGCAAAAAAACAATAGACCTTGATAGACCTCCCAGGTTCCGCAGTTTCCCAAGCTTGTTTCATTGCCTTGATTTCATCCACACGTTCTGTGTCCTTCCTGATGTCTATTGTTTCTGCATCATTACTGTCACTTACAACTCGAAGAGTCCAAGATGGTTTGCTGACATCCAGAGCCTAAAATATATGATAAGAAGTCCAGATTATCTTGTAATATGTATGCTGATGTACAGTATTCCATCCACAGTAAATCAGACCCCTGATCTTATCTTCTGTATTTGTAATTACCAAATATGAATAAAAAACTTGAGATCACAGCCAGATGATTCTGTTTTCAAGAGACTCATAATCAAAAGTCAAAACAGTGAGTATGAACTGCCTTCGCTCAGATGGCAGATCACCACAAGAGTTTAGGAATGAATTGATTTTATTATTGCTATTGCTTCATTGTTCATTTTTACACTCAGCTCCAATCAGCCTGCTCAGGGCAAAAGACTGCACTCTATCTTAAAGAAGAACACTCTTAAATAGTTGTTGTTATGTTAAATAGTTTATGTTAATCAATTATAACTTAGTGTCTCAAAAATTATGCCTTCATTGGTCTTTTCAGTATGCATATGTAAAGGTATGATTAGCTATGCCTTTGTCTACTGGGCTTTGAACTTGCCAATGTTTTCCACTTCTTTCAAGTGGTTATTCAAAAATATCCTTTTCTGATTTTCACACAATATAGACACCTGTGAGAAATAAAGTAGGAAGAACATTTGTGGAATATTATTCTCTCAGACTTAGCTAGATTTTCAGTCTATTTTCAGATCTGTTCTGAAATCCCCAGCACAAGTGACCTTTATTTTTTTTAGTTTTGTGTTGCATTACAGTATTGTCAAGTCGGATAGGAAAACAGTGTTGTAAAAATGCATAAATCTTTGACATTTTATACATTAACTTTTTTATACTAATATTCAAAGAAAGGACAAGTACTGTATGTACATTCTGGTTAAAACCCAAAAGAGTTTAAATAATGCTTGAAATATAGACAGGGTCTAAATGTCAGGAAGAGATGGGCTTGGAAATGTATGCTACAAGTATGGGCAGTAGAAAAGTTACAAACAAGACAGGCCCATTCAGCCCATATTGCTTGTTTGATTTCTACTATCTTAAAGCTCTACTGTAGGTCTGAGAATTCTATTTCTTAAAAGATTGCATTAAGTAAATTTCGATGTCCTGAAAGTTAACTCTAGACTCTGACAATCTGTTTAAAGATATGATTCTTGTTCTGGTTAAAGATGGTCACAAATTTGCTTTCCACTTGTGTTCCTGTGACCTTGTGATGCATTGTATCTTAAAGAAGACCTCTAGATTTACTGTCAGCCTTTTAGGATTCTGAGCTCCTGAATTAACACTTCCACATATTGCTCTCTGCTCCAGGCTTAAAAGATTTAGCTACTTTAGTCAGTCACATTATGGAATTCCCTATTTCAATACAGAGGAAGACTTTTTAAAGGACACCTAAAAATGTTCAAATCAATAAAATTGAGCAAATGTTTTGATTTATGCTTGAATTAATATGATGAAAAAGATCTAGAGTCTAACAACATCTGGAATAATGTATGGAACAAATAACCATTGTTAAAAGATTAATCTTAAGCAAGATGCCTAACAAGACAAGTTCAAGTTGTCAATTTATCAGATTCAAAACGTATTCAACTAAAACTGCATGTGGGCCCCTATTTGTTTCTTGAAATGGTGCCACATTACCTATTTACTGTACCTGAGAATCTGGTCTTGATGCAGGTCCTTCTTTTTCCTTGCCAGATTTGTCCTTATCTAATTTTTCCACAGGCTTATCCTTTCCTTTCCTGGATGACTTGGGTGTTGTAGACCCTGCAGATTTATGTGCTTCAGTAGACTGGAGCTCTGAGTTTACAGGGATATTGGATTCATCCAGCTTCTCCCCATAAACTGTGGAAACCAAAAAAAAAAACTGAGGCTTGATAAACTGCATTTCTTTCTTGTCTTAATATGTTCCTAAATGTATATCAAAATTATCTGACAAATTAATGATAGTAGGGAGACATTTAATTAATCAGATACAGAATGTACAAGAGAGAAGAATATTTTAATCTGTGCACTGTATATCAACTGGTGCTTAACTTTCAGAAATTCTTACTAAACAGATACAACTTCTTTACTGTTGCATAATTTCTTACTTATATCCATCCATCTTCTAGCCTCTTTATCCAATTTAGTATCACAGGGAAGCTGGAGCCTATCCCAGCAAGCAACATGCACAAGGAGGGATACAGTCTGGATGGGACACACACATACTCCCATCAAGGCCATTTTTCCTGAAGTCATTTAACAAACCAATATGTCTTTGGTATGTGGAAGGTTAACCAGTGCACCTGGAGGACATACAAACTCCACACAGATAGCACCCCAGGTCCAGAATTGAACCAATTGCTGTGAGGTGGCAATGCAAATCACTGTGTCACTGTGCCACCCACTTACTCCATATTCCACAATTTGTTATTTACCAACCTGATTAAATGTTCCAGCAAAACAGATTTATAAAAAAATATTCATCATCAATATCTGCACCACACATAATGGTATACAAGGAGGGGGGTTTACATCAGCATGGTTTCCCTGTAAATTTGTTTATATTCCATAATGGTTTTTATATATTTATTGTTTATATCCATTACAAATCACAATTAGATAACAGCTAATGAAACATGTTTTGATTTCCCTGGTACAGAAGCAGGAACACAACAGGATAATCTACATAAGTGCCAAATCAACTATGCAAGCATTCCTTCAAAACCTATTCACTAGGGAGATGAAGAACATATTTTCTGGTCTGCATTCCAGATGGAACACGTACTGTTTGAAGCCGCTGTCTTGTGTTACACTGAAAGCACATCTGACAAACTCTGCTCTGCTCAACTACAGTACCTCTCAAATCATGTTTTGAGAGGAACGACAGGACGGGACCACTTTTGAGAGGGTTTATAACACTTTCACATAAGTGATGGATCTTTTCACTCTCCACACATGCTACTTCCACAGTATTTCAAACTTTTTTATTTTACTGTAGAACCTGTGATGTACAGTATTTCTGGTTATTCTTCTTAAAATGTTTTTAAATGAAAAATAGGGGTGTTTCAATACAAGGTTCTATACTGTATATTTAGATAGATATAAATTTATATTTTCTAATGCAATTTCATATGAAATTGTTAGATTTGACAAATTAAATGAAGAGGGGGTTGATTATTATGTCGCTGCTTTCTGAAATACCTGTCATTCTAAAAGGATTATACTTTCAAAGTTCAAATGTTGTTTGGAAATATTTCTTTTTGGTTTAAGACATTTCATACCAATTATAAAAACAATTTTAGATGCCAACATCCAAAACGAATTACAAATAAATCACAAATTGCAGTCAGAATCACCCCCCTCTTGTTTATAAGTGTTTTAAAATAAAAAAGAAGGATTATTAAAGTTTTTGAGACACTGTGAATCAAATTAGTCTTTTTTTTCTAAATCTATCTGTACCTGTCTAATTTATTATCCCCAAGAATATCAGAAAGTCACCTACCCTGAGAGCTTTCAGATCCAGACTCAAAAACCTCTTCAGAATGTCTTTAGTTTATTCGTGTTTGTGTCTGCTCCTTGCATCCTATACTACTTTTGTAATCCATTGTGCTACTTTTATTATCTCCTTTTTCTTGTAAACTATTTTTTCTTCTTACTGCAAATCAATTTGAGAAGCTATACAATTAAAGCACTATATAAAATAAAGTTTATTATTATAAATATATTAATAATAATTAACATTTTGGTATCTCAGCAACTGTTAATCAACCCAGATCACTGCTATAATCTTTTGACCACCATGGGAAGGGAAAGGAATGAAGGAATGAATCAACATACCCTGGGAATGAAGCCAGTGATATCTAGACTACACTACTCAACCTGCTCTCTGAAAGTGCTCATTGGTTAGTTAAATTAGAGTCAGTTTAATATGAGTTAAATAGCTTTACTGTATAAACAATTCAATAATGAGGCTTAGATATTTTACTTCTCCATATTAAATACATATTTTTAAAATATGGATTAAGAAGTGTGTTATTCATCTAGAAGAAACTACTTTTTGCATTTCTGCTTAGTTTTTCTGTATCTTGGTTGAGCTGTTTTCCTACCTGCCTTCAAGATATACTGGACACTTCTCAGTGGCCCTGTACAATCCTGCTAACATTTTTAACATGCATATTTTTTACTTAACAAAGTAATTTTGTCTTTTAATGACATTGCCCATTTTTTTACATTCAATGAAAGTTCAACCACTTAACTTGCAGAAACATCCTAAGAAGCTAAGTATGTTAATAAGTATTTAGATATCAGTATTTTTTTTTAACTGAAAAGGTCAAATGAGTATGGTGCTGCAAGTTAGAGCAATGCCACTATTTACATAATTAAGTGTATACTAGGTGGCAGTGTTGTACTAGTAAAACAACACATTTAGTTCTATACAGCCTTTAGTAAGCAATGATTTATTGTTCTTCACATTTTTAAATGCTTAATTGTATGTTGTGATACATATATAACAATGTCAATTATATCTATTTACTATATAACCATCTATACTAATATGATTTATGCTTACTTCTTATAAGATGACTAATGAGTGTTTAAAAATGTATTTCAGTTTCTAAAAACAGAGAGATTACAAAAGCTAAATCTCTGAAGTCTAAAAGAAAATGAGACTAAGATGAGATCTGCAAGGGTCTATTACACACTCGGAAACTAAAAGGGAATTCATTTAGCAGGGAGAATAGGAAATGCTTCTTTACACAGTGAGTTGTGGGTATCTGTCAGAGGCTTGAAGGTCCAAACTCAAAAAATTGTTAAAAAAAACAGCTAAATAAAACTTTAATTTCACTAAGCTACTAAACTCCTAAATTATGGCTGAATGGCCTCCTTTAATTTATAAGTTGTTATATGGTCTGATCTTCTAAATTCCTTCAAAACAAACATTTTCTTCCTTCCTGTACTTCAATACAGTACATCTCTTTACTTGTATATTATTTGAAAATGTACCATACATAGTGAACTCATCACAGCTTAAGAGGACCAAAGACTTTCCCATTAAACACATGGAGAGCAGAAATGTGAGGAAGAGCACATGTGAAGAAGATAGGGAGGAAGGGCTTTGTAAGGGCTATTAAAATGTTCATGTCCTCAGAAAGCAAGTAAAACTTCCACTTATGCTTTTAATCAAAAGTTCACTAAATGTATTTTAAGTAAACTGCTTATCAATGCAGAACGGGGTGGAGACAAGGTTTAATGATATCGAACAGCCTAATTTATCCAGAACATTCAATGAGATAATTTTGTTAATCTTTATTAAACATGACAGAGTGGATTAATTTTATACTCTGTATACCCTAGAAATTACAATTTATGAGTTATGTTACATCTCAGAGAGCTTCAGATGTTATTGATGTACACCACCATAAATTAACAATTTATTACATTATACTGTAAGGTTTTTCCTTACAACAAGCTAAAATATGGTAAAGGCCAAATATAATATTACAATGAATTTGCAATATAATGACATTCTAAAAGGTGTACTGACTGTAAAACCTGACACTATAATTTTAGCTTTGACTCTATGAGATTTTGGCAGTAATAAATGAACAGATGTAACCTCAGGGATGTCTGGCAACTTTTAGGTATCTATATTTGTCTATAGGTATAGGTAAATATTTTTATTTCAACATATTTGAAAATTAAATACTGTTTTTAAAAGGGTCCTTCTGTTACTGGTAGCAATTTTTAAATGCTGCAATTAAAGATGATTTTTTTCAGTTTTATTTTAAAGTTTAATCACATCCCAAGGCCACTAGGGGGCAAAAGGTAACTTCATTAGATTTGGTATTGACCCAATTAGAATACATACTGGCTCAGTCATGTTCTTGTATTTTCAGATATTTTTTGAAAACCTAAAGGACGGATTTGTTATTCTTTTAAGAAAATAGGTCAGTTTATACAGTGCCATTACATGAATCATTTAACAGCATTAAATCTATGTAATAAGGAACATATTTATAAAAAAAAACATAGGGGAATACGGTATTTTGAACTTCAAGGATTGAAATTATTTTTTTTAACATTTTCAAGACTAAATATGCTAGTAGTAATAGTACTGACAGAAACAGAAGCAACGGTGCTGGGTCAAGGATTACTTAATTGCCTTTATTCAGCTTCAACAATAAACAGAAATAAAGGCAGCTAACTTCCCTTACTTACAAATAACATTATTTAATTTATTAATTATTTATTTCATGACTTAATGATGTATTACTTGATTAAAATAAATAAATGTGAGATTTTACCCCATGTTCCCATTTCAAATGATAATATTTAACAGAATTCTATATTCTTCCTCCTGAAACAAGCAACTGCCCAAGATGAAAAACCTTTTCACTAACAAAAAAATCCCTTGTGGAAAATAGATGAGAAAGGCATTCTAAGGACAGAAATAAAGTGGTGTAGAAAGAGAAAAATATTTCTACAATTAAACTGTTTAGTTTCATATAGAATGAAATGTTGAACCTCTGAAACATAATGAACATTAATATTTAATATGACAGCATTCAGCCATATTGCTTAAGTACGTAACATAAAATAACATGTAAAAAAAGTATGCTTGTGGATTAAACTGTTGAAGGCCCCTATTTAAATACAGATTTAAGATTGTATACACCTGAACAATACTTCACCCACAAGAATTTCTTTGACAATACACAATATGGGTAATCATGACAAAATATAAATTATTGCTGAACCAGATGAAGCTCACATTGACTAAGTAACATAATTTAGATAGTTTCCTGCACATTAATTATGAAATTGAAGCACGCTAAAGAAATTGCAATTAAATTGCTCAAATAAATCATAAATTAGGATTTTTAATGGATGGATCATGTCTTCCTTTATAAACTAAGTTATACTTGTGTAGAGGCAATGCTTGTTAATAAGACAGAATTAAGTGTTGCTGTGCTTTCCCAAATGAGGCCCCATCTCCCTCTTCATCTCTGTGGCGCAGCCACAGAGAAGCTATTCATGCAGGCTGATTTAAAGATGTTTTCTTTTGATAAGGGATAGCTCCCAAATGGGGATGCACTTAGCTAAGCCTGGCTATCATGATCAATGGTCATCCATTGGCGCCTATCTGTCTAGGAGTGTCAGATGGACATCTGGACTGCATTCCTAGGTGTCAGGAGTAAGTGACTCATATCTCACCTTGATCAACCAATCAGAGACTGGTAGGGCCGAGTAACCCACGTGGAATTCTGATGCCCATGAAACTTTCAGTCAATGAACGAGCTGAAGTTCCTCCAGGTGAAAACAGGCAACACAGAGAGCCTGTAGGACTATTTCGGACAATTCTAAAGGGAATTCAAAGGAGAATTCTAGGGCAGGATGGCCCAGGAGCAGAAGGCTCCCAAGGGCAGGACATTCTCGCAGCGTGCCTCCTAACCATCCTGAGACTCAGCCCGGACCACCACGGAACGGCCAGGGTGTCCAAGTGCCAGAGCTTTCCTTTGTTCTAAGAGTCTAGAGCGGAGGTTGCCAGAGAGTAACCAGAGGATCCACCTGAGGTTAGCATCAGCAGCAAGCCTCGTGAACAGGTTGGAACTGTGGACAGCTGAATCACTATTCAGAACTAGCTCTTCATCAGGAACGAACTGGTCCTCTTCCTGACTTGCTGGGACCCACAGTCATCTTTTCTCCTGTGCAACTGTTTCTTTGTGCCCGCAGGAGATCTGAATCCCCAGAGATTGGATGAGTATTCAACTTCACTGCATTACAGCTCGAGAATTCAATTGTTTTCCCAAACAGTTGATATCAATTTAATTCCTAAGAGTTATGTACTTGTTTTGAGTATCTAATGTAGAAGTTATAACCAAGTTCATTTACGAAACGGTCTAAATGAATGATATACTGAACGTATGTCCTCTTGATATATGTAACTCTTCGTAACTGACTGAATATATACCTTTTGTATTCTAATAACCCTCTCGATAAGATCTGTTAGGTTTACATGCATATTCTATGTATTAATAAATGTATCCTCGTGTATTAGTACCTGTGTGTGCGTTGTTTGAGTTATATCGCAAGGTTGGATTCTAAGGCCATCAAAAGAATCATTTTGTGATTTACTGCTACAATTAATAATTGTCCCAGTAAATGCCCAAACCCTACAGAACTGGTGCCTTCAGAGAGCACACTACACTGGTATGAGAAAAATTAAAGGGTGGTGCTATGGTTGTCATTACACGTTGAATTGTAACCCTAAACTGGGCTTCAATTCCAGATCTGGGGTGCTATCTACAGTATATGAATTTGATATGTTCTTCCCAGGATTGTGTGGGTTTCCTCCTGGTTCTCCAGTTTCCTCTCATAGTCCAAAGACATACTGGTAGGTTAATTGGCTTTTGGGAAAATTGGCCCTGGTGCGGGCATGTGCATGTCTAAGTCTGTGGGTGCCCTGTGATAGACTGGTGTTAGCCAGGATAAGCTATGGCTCCCACATGACCTTGAATTGGATGAAGCAGTTAGAAAATGATTGGAGGGATAAGTAAAATTGAAATCTGTAAGATGTGACGTGTTTCTCTTGTGAAAATAACAGATGGCCTCAGTACTATGCTTAAAATATGAAAATATATGCTGATACAAAATGCATCCTGTTACAGTATATATTAACAGTAATCAGTCATTTAATACACATTTTTCACCAAAAAACTTAAAGGGGCCAAGCAGCAAACTAAAAAGTCAAAGTCACATGCACTGAACCAATGGAAGAGTCAGGGTTTAAACTAGGAACCAGTGGGTCACAAGCCAAAATCACTAGACCAACTAGTCCATGAGGAACAGAAAAGAAGCATAATTGAAATATACTCTACACAATACAATATAAAATTAGTCTGAAATTATATCAACTTCTCTGAAAATATGATTTCACAAAAACATCTACAGTAGGTAGTGTTTCCCTAAGAAAGATCTAACGGATAAACCTGATGTACTATACAAGATTTATATAAATACTTTTTTAAATATTTAATAAAGTCATTTTTAAATATTACTTTAGTCAATAAAATGCATAATGTTTCAATAATATCAGCTTCTACAGTTTTTTTCAATATTGCATTCCCCTCTTAACTTGGCCTCTATTTGATTGCACAGGGCCAAATTAAATTTGTGCACCTACAGTATTTCCTAAAAAACAAAAAAATACAAATTGTATTTTATGATTGATCCTTGCATTTCTTGTCTGCACAGTCTGAGAAAAGAGATTTGTCTAGAAAGTAATATTGAGACATGATAAAAAAATGCATATACTGTAGCACCTTACCCTTAATGTAATTTTTCTCCATTTCTTTTAACACCTGCACAAAGGCTAGCTGGGAGTCATCTAAGGTCCAGCTTTTGTGAAGCACCAGAGCTTGAATAATGTACTTGTGGCTCTAAATAGACAAAAAGAGGAATATCAATAAACTCAGCTAATTTAACTTTAGTAAACAATTGAGTGAATTATTTAAATAATGACAAAAATAGAAACATTTTAATGTTTTAAATATCAGCGTTATGTATATATAATAATAAGTTGCATATGCTGAGTCAGTGGGAGACTTAATTAGTTGGGCGGTGCTATCAAATGGGTAGATCAGGAAATACAGTTTTAGGTGCAACATTCAAAAATGATATACCATCAAAGTAGTTTTTCCTCTTTTAATTATCACAACAAAACAGTGAAGTTGTAAAGCAGGGCTACAAAATGGCAGCTTTTCCAAATTTCCTGACTGCTGTGCTTTGATACAACCAGTAGTCTTAATTATTATATTGAATCTGTTAATTATTAAAAAGGTGAAGAGCTGACTATAGCACAAGTTTGCAATATATAACCACTAATGGTAGTTATATAGACCACAGGTTGAGCAGCCATATCATAAACAATTAGCCAGAAGCAATATCACTCTGCAACTCACAACTGGCAACCCACTGAAGCTCAGCAGGTGTGAGCCGGGTCAGTACCTGGGAAAAACTGAGGTTGCTGCTGGAATAGGTGTTAGCAGGGGGCGCTCACCCTGTGGTCCATGTGGGTCCTAATGCCCCAGTATAGTGATGGGGACACTATATTGTAAACAGGCGCTGGGATGAGACGTAAAACCGAGGTCCTGACTCTCTGTGGTCATTAAAAATCCCAGGGTGTTTCTCTAAAACAGTAGGGGTGTAACCCAGGTGTCCTGGCCAAATTTCCCATTGGCCCTTACCAATCATGGCCTCCTAATACTACCCATCTATGACTTGGCTTCATTACTCTGCTCTCCTCCCCACTAATAGCTGATGTGTGGTGAGCATTCTGGCGCACTATGGCTGCCGTCGCATCATCCAGGTGCAGGCTGCACATTGGTGGTGGTGGAGGAGATCCCTATTACCTGTAAAGCGCTTTGAGTGGAGTGTCCAGAAAAGCGCTATATAAGTGTAAGCAATTAAGCAATTATAAACAATTACATACTGTATATATTCAGGATATTAAATTAAGATTCCCTATTGTGTACTTATAAACAATATATTTTATAATATACTGTATTTTATTACTTTCTTTGTTGAAAAAGTAAGGAGGTGTTTTATCAGCTTATGCTTGCAAAATAAAGTTTAATCACTGTGAATTGCAATTCTTGTTCACAGAAGAACATAAGTGGAGAATATAAGTCTCATTCACTATCACAAATAAAAATACAGCAACTATGAATAATATCCATCCTCATATTATTTCTAAAAAATATTATTGATGTCAAACTTTGTTGAGTAAATATCACACCATTAGTTCTGCAGGTTGCTGGTCAATTGTTGCCTCTGATCTGCTGGTGGTCTCCTCATCTCCTGGCATCTGGGGTACACTTGTCAGTCTTGCACTTCTCTGACTGCTCACAGAAGTGCTCCTTTCTCTTCTGCTTTCTCCTGACAGACTTCGAATCTGTGTACATTTACTTGATGATGCTGTTTAATATATATATTTCAGAATTATGGGGAAATATAAATATGTTAAATGTAATACATTTACCCATAAACATCACATATAAATAAAATCAAAATTCACTCACAGCTTGGCCTTTTATTACAGAAGAATGTGAAAGCAGGAATCACAACATGACCTTTCCCAATACTGCTTGCTACTTCTTCTTCATTGTCAAGAATCTGGAGTTTAACATACACATCTGGTTTGGATGTCTGTAGCTGGAGGGTGGCAAAATGATCCATTGTGACCTTCACTAAAAATCTGTCAAAAAATGAAAATCCAGATATTGTACTTACATGATTTACAACTATTTCATTTTCAGTCATTAAAAACCTAATATTACATTGAGAAAACCCAATATTACATTAATATTCCCTATGAATAGTAGGTATCCTCTTACCTACATTAAAAGAAAAATCAAGAGAGAATTACTTTAGAATTCAACAATATAAAGTAATACGGCTTAGCCTTCTATAACTCACCGACAAATTAAGTGTTTTTTATTAGGTATATAATAATCCTTAAATTCCTTTATGGCAAAACTGCTATTTGCGGGGTCCCTGCTGAGAACTGGCAGTGGGTTATAAGATCCAATCAAACGTAACTTCCATTTTCCAGCTGCCAGGGGAAAGTCTCCAGAATGTGCTTCTGCCATGAAAGTATAACCTTTCTAAAAAACAGTTCAAACTTCAGTTAGACACACATTTATGGTAAATATAAAAAACATGAGCAAAATACGGAGGCCATTCAGCTTGTCAGAGTTCACTGATCTGATCTCATCTAGACATTTCTTGAAGGACCTGATAGAATCAACTACATAAACATGTATGGAACAAACAGCCCTGTATTTACAAGTTACTAATATTTTTTGTTTTAATGTTGATCCTAGATTAGTCCTCTGGACTTTCTTTGTTAATATCTTGAGCATTTTAGAAACAAAATGTAAAAAAATGGCATAATTGATACTGAATTAAAAAGATACACAACAGAGAGCACAATAAGGGGTGAATATTCAGACTGGGATGGTGTGTATGCTATATCTGTTATCTATCAGGTCGTTTTTCTTCATTTAATAATTTAATCTGAGCTTCATTTGACTTAAATGCTGTGCTTTTCACTACAGTATGTATCCTAACATTTTGTAGGTGTTTTAAATTTATACTATTACTGAACATGAAAAATAATGTTAACATAAGGTCTGTTAATTTAATACTAAATACTAAAGAATAATGAGCCTACTCTCATTGTAGCCCTAGATGTCTGATTGTTAAAGATATAAGGAACTATTAATTTATATTTCCACACACAATAATTTTCAGGAATGTCAGGTCTTTCAGAAAACAAGTAGTTATATTCATATTCAGTACATATTATCTAATTTATTCATTACCATATAATTGTCATAATGATGATAATCTATATAATTATGCTATAAATTATGTATCTGTTCATAAGCAATGTCTAATTTAATTAAACATATTGATAATTTAGATAATAAACATTCCCATATTGGTAATGGTGCACAAAGCAATGGCCCTCTTTTTTCAATATTACACTATTGCCTTTTTTAAAAACTTTTTAACTGTTAAAAACTTTTAAGATATTGTTCAGAGACTGTGGAGTCTAATTTTTTAAGTATCATTCGGGATGCTTATTTTTTGGTATTTATGAACAAATGAAATGAGCAGACTTTTCTTCCACTAAACCATATGGAACAAACGAATGTATAAAATGCATGAATCAGCATTTAACATGCAATTCCTATTTTTGTATACAACATTTCTTAAATATAACAACAATGTAATGGATAATGGAAATGAACTGAATAAATAATGTATTCTTGACTATTTTAAACGTGATTTATGAATCTGAGATACTAGATCTTGTCAAAGTGTCCTCAATTAACCCCAATGAAACAGGAATAAAAACATCCAAAAGACTTATAGATTGGATAATATGTCCTGCTAAAAATGAAAATATATAATCATGTAATAGTAATACATAGTACAAAATCATATTAATTAATTTTAGGATAGAGATCAGAAAGGTAACACTTATTCACACCCCTGTAGATCTGATCTCCTATTTTGCTGGGACAACATGAACTTAAACTTTCACTCTAAACCCCTTTAAGACTGTTCAACCTCTAGATGGAGAATCAGTTCAAGCACACTTTGTTCCTGTGGGAGGGAGCAAACTATGCAGCACATCCTAGAGGACTGCCCAATTCACAGACTCTGGACTCCACATCCACAACACACATAGACCAGAAGCTACTGTATTGCTTGGCTCAGGGACTTTGCAATCTCTAAATAAATAAACCTCTCTAGATAGATAGTATCTGTCATGGACTACTCTGATAAGAAACTGCACATCATAAGGGGATTTCTGTATTTTTCAAGGCAGAATTGCTCTAGGGCATTCAGACACTTTGGCTTCCATCTGTGAATTGATTCTTGAGTTCAAATATTTAAATTGAATTGAATTTTGGAGATTGAGATGACCAGTTGAGAACATTTATGTTGTGTGCACTTAAGCTCTTCTTTGTCTTTGAATGCATGTTTTGGCTCATTGTCATGGTGGAATATCCACTTTCTAACCAAGCTTGAGCTTCCTGATACTACTTCAAGGATAGCGTTTGACCAAAATGGCACATCTAGTAATTCATGATTCTTGCAAACAACGCAGGATACATACTATACAGGACACTAGTTCATTGCAGACACACACGGATACAAACACGCACATACGTACACCAGGGCCAGTTTTCCTAGAAGCCAATTAACCTATAAGTACTGTTTGTCTTTGGACTGTGGAAGAAAACCAGAGCACCCAAAAGAAACACATGTGAACATGGAGAAAACACACACTTTCAAACTCCATGCCGGGTCTAGAATTGACCCCAAGACCTCAGCACTGCAAGGTAACAATGCTAACCACTGTGCCAATATGCCATTCCAAGTAAAACAATCACTAAACATAACACACTTTATGCTATATTTCACAGCACACACGAGTTGTTTGTAAACATTAGCTTCCCCCTTTACACACCAAGAAATTACAATAATATGAATAGTCCAAAAAGCTCAATTTGCTTCTCATAAGAATGGTGGTTCACTTACACAAGATGCTTCTTACTTTCAACCTGGACATGAATGCCACATTCATACTGGCAATGCTGAATTGTATTTTTCGATACTCTATTTACAGAAGACTTTGTGTTGGCTTTATGGTGGCCTCTTGAACCACTCTCACAACCCATAGTAATACTTTCATGAGTGAATAAAATGTGATCCCCATTATTTCTGAATGAAACTTATTTCTGCCAAATACAACTTTGCTCTGTGCATGCTATAATGCTTGTAATATATAATTGTATTCTTATTTTAAGCGAGACACATTATTTGATCCTTAACACACTCTTTTCTATGTCTTTGTTTCAATTTAATTGGGGCTTTGAAAAAAATTGGAAGCCATTATATTACAGAAATGTATTTACAAATTTGGTTTTGGTGAAAAAGGCTAGAACTATGCTCAGAATAGGAATCAGCATTCTGCTGAGAAATTCTTAGGTGCATCCATGCATATTTTGCTTTATACAGTGCCTTGCAAAAGTATACATACCTTGCACAGTTTTCACATTTTGTTGCTTTAAAGCGTGCAGTCATGACACTTTGAAGTAGCGAGTAATATTTATTTTATACATAACCTATCCCACATATTCAAAGTAAAAAACAAAAACAATAAGAAAGAAGTAAACATATAATGTAAAAGTAATAATTATATAAATATTCAAACCCTTTGCTGCCGGAAAACTAAATTAACTTAACACAAATTTACCTTAACGTGTCACACAATTATTTGAATGGTATCTGTCTGTTTGCAATAATTGTTCAACTGGTTCAGAATAAACACATCTGTCTCTTTGGGATTCCCTGGTATTGCACTGAATTTCAAGCAAAGGTTTCAAAGCAAGACAGAGATAATGTCATAGAAAAGTAGAGATACCGAAAAACAAAGAAAAGATCAGATGAATACAATAAATATAAACGTCTCTGAATGTTGTCACAAGAGCGGAGCAGTCCACTCAATCATCGAGAAATAGAAGGTGCATCATACCACCCTTCAAATGGAGCAGCTGGGCAAAAGGAAAATATTGAGGGATGATACTGTAAGGTTATTGATAACTTTGAATCAATCTACAATATTCTGGTCACTCCACAAAGCTGGCCTGTTAAAACCCAAACTCATATTCCTCATGGAGTTTGCAAAAAACAATTGAGCTATGTGGCAAAATGTTTTGTGTTCAAAAATGCTAAGCATTGTGCAAGCAGACCCAGCCCAGCCCAGCTCCCAATCAACACTATCCCTGCAGTCAAGCACAAGATCAAAGTTTCACCAGAGTGGCTTGTGAAAGTGAATGTCCTTGAGTAGTCCAGTCAAAGTGCTATTAAGAATAGGCAGAATGACTTGAAAACTGCAGTCCATAAGCAATCCTTAAACTACTGGAGAGAATTTGAGGAAACTTGGCAAGAAGAAGAATAGAAAATGTCACCAAGCCAGTATGCAAAGTTGGAATTGACACCACACTGTCTGTAATTGCTGCCAAAGGTGCCCCAACCAACTACTGAATTTGTGGGTTTGAATACTTATACATATTTGTATTTTTTCCTCTGTAGTTTTTGCTGATATTTACCATAGTTTATCTTATATTTAGAAGTCTTTAGCTTGAGCATTGAAGTTTAAATAAAAAATTATTAGAAATAAAAAATTAATAAAAAAATGTATGCATCATTTTGTCATTTCACCAAATGCAACACCATAGCAAGTACCTGAATATTTTTGAAAAAACTGAAATTTGAAAATATTTTCTTAGATGTCATTTAATTAATTTGAATACACAACCATAAATCAGTGTTATCTTCTTTTAGCCAGTTTACATAGAGCTATTTAGAAATTAGAAAAAATGTTATGTGAAAAACAATATTTGATGAAAAATTGATTTTGATATATCAATGACCTTAGCAGAAAAAGACTGGGCAATCCAGAAAGAAATGGTTTACTTTGTTAAAAATAATTCCATATTATTTTCTTATTTATGCTTATATTAATTGAATTTCTACTACAGTAAAAGGAAAAATAACAAACAAAAGGAAAATTGTAGAAAGAAAAAACCTGGTTCTTTTGATAAATATGTGGCACCACTTTTTGAAAGATCTTGGGAACCTCTTCTCCTGTATCATTGTCAATCACATGAAGAACACAGGCAGGGATGGAAGAATACACCTTGGGTACGACCAGCATATCTTTAGGTACAAAAAACACCTCCCTTTTGAAATACAAAGAAGAAAACATAGAATAAAGAAATTAAAAAGTTATGCTATAGTACATATACTTTTGATTTTCTTTAACATTTCTAAATGCAATGTCTGTCATAATCCTGAACTCATTATGAAATACTAAATTTCTCAATACTACAGAAAACAGATGTTTTAGATATTTTTATTCTAAATAAAATAAATTAGCTTTTTAACAGCATTCAAGACCAACCCTAGTTTTACATTAATGTTTGAACATCTCCATGTACAGAAATATACAGATCATCAAAAAATTATTTCATAATATCAAAAAATTCACACTTAGATCCCCTCATTGATTTATTTGTTGTACACAAAAGTTGGTGTTAAGGGCCTTGCTCAGGGGCCCAATGGTGTAGGATTCCTCTGCCGACTGTGGGATTTGAACCGGCAACCTTGCAGCCACAGGTGCAGATCCTTAGCCACAGTGCCATTTTGATTGAAATGAAATATTTTTTAATTTGTTAATATATTATATTTTACACTTAGTTAAGCCATTAATTGATATAAAATAATGTATAGCGTAACCCCAGCTCTCCCCATTATAAAGTGACATTTTTTTATTTAACCCATAGGATTAGAAAGTAACTATTAAAGATAATATTAAATATATTTAATAATGCTTACAGTATATACATTAGTATGAGAAAGATGTTTGGTCTTAAGTTATATTACTGTCACTTTTTGGTGTTTAAAATGTTAATTCCCCTATTTATAGTAATTCTAATAAACATCTTTTTTTAAATAATATATAATTATTATGATTCTAATGCTTACATTACAGTAAATTACACAGGCTAGTAATGATGAAATCTCTATTGTTATTATATAAATTATGTAATTTTCATAAATATCATAAAAATACAGCAGAATCAGAATGCAGCCAGTGTCATAGAACAGCACATCAGCTCTTCACCAAGTCCACAGAAAATTAATACAATAATCATTGAAAGCTGTACCATTTTTTACTGTGAATATTATTCAGCTGCTCTGTTGCTGATATGTTCTCACCACCGATTTTTGTTTAAGACGACCATACCTGAAGACAACAAACCAGGAATTATTTGGCTGATCTTGGTAATTTACAGAATAATCGATAAATGAAGTCCTGGTCCATTCATCTTTGTAGCATGGATAGAGCTCCACTGTCTTTTCACTGCTTGTGAAAATGTCCCTAAAATATAACATTAAAAATCAAGAATAGTTTTTATAACATACCGACTTCCCCCATATTTGTAATGCCTATACTATGTAAATAAGACCTAGATTATTATATTAGTAAGCCGAGACAATGAAGGATCTGGTAAAATCACCAGTATTTTGGGTCAACGTGGAACAAAGAGAAGATCAGCAGGTTTAACCAATAAACTAACAAGTCAAAAAAATAATTTGATATATATATATAACTATGCAACATACAGTATTAGTATAGATATTTAATCATTATATACTGTATTTAACTATAAAGTATTAATTGCTGCCTAGTTTGTTAAAATAATGATAAAAAGTGTTTAACCTTGGCAAATGTAGTATAGCTTTCTGAAAAATATTAAAGTCAAGGTAATGTTGATAAATGGTTGTCTGGCAAAAACAAAAACTACTGATTACATGCTAATATAATTGATTTAAAGTATAATAAAATAATAATCTTTCAAACGGACAATGCTTGTCCCTGCAAGATCAATAAGATAACTCTCTGTCAGCCAAAGAACATTGGTCTATGTACAACATCTGTCAGCTCTATACTGTATATTTATGATAATTAGGTATTTACAGTAGGTATAATTACAGTAGTTATTTATCACATCTTTCTAGATAAAAACTCAACTATATTTACATCGTATTATATATTATAATCATTACAAATTATTATTTTTTGCCATGGTCAGAGCATAGTGAATACCTGTACATTTGACCCTGTCTAATATTCATCGTACCTTTTGGGCTGAAAATGTTTCAGGTGATGTATGTCTGATTCTAAAACATTAGGTTTTGGTAACTCAAATACTACAAAAACTCAATTTTTTTTCTCACTTTCAGCTATGTGGATTACAGTATGAGTGGAGAAACCTTCAAAATTTCAATATAAAATGAATAAATATTTAAATATCTTAAAAAATATGCCACATGTGAAATATACAGTATAACGTGACACAATTAAACAAAGCTCACAAACAAAATTAAATAACAATTTGTTTGGCCTTTCATGTTTATATTGTATTATTTATATTTCAGATTGATTTATTTCCTTCTTATTAATCAAATCTAATTTTTGAATTTAAAATTCCTAAAATACATATTGTACAGTAGCACCTTTAAATCTTTAAGTAATGTTTGAGTGCTACAATATTCCTTAAATCAAACTTAAACCAAATCCAAAACAGTTTAAATTAAATAAAACATAGACTTAATCCATACATATACAGCAAGTATTTACTGTATGCTACAGTTGATGTGAAAATTGTTAAATGTATAAGATAACTTGTTTATTTCTAATTTGACATACTAGGAATATGCTAAATGTTAGTTTGCAGAATTTAGCAGTGAATTATACTTCCACAATTAGTTTGTTCATTATTTTGAAATAAAATGCATTGTGGGATTGCAGATACTGTGTGTTAGACTTTTTTAGGATAAGCTATTTACTATTTAGGCTGCCCAGGCACATCCATGTACATTTGATGTAGAACAAGGGTGCTCTGCGCTTTTATGAGTTTTGTCGTGGTGGTAAATTTGTAAAAATCCAAATTCTTTCCTGAGCCAATGTGCAAAACACTGAAAACATAAAATCAAATTATATGTACATTTGATGGCAAAAAATATATTTTATTTGAGATACTCTGATGTTTGTGCTTCATATTTATCTGTAGCATTATTAAGATAGCGTAAAGTACTTACCTTAATAAAAATAAAGCATGCTGTTCTGCATTTGGCTCCAGTGCAGACCAGATTTCCTGCAATAGTTTTTTGGCACTCGCATTCTCCTTTGTACCTAAAAGTAATTGAAGAAATTCAGCTTAAAGTCAAAGAGAAATTACTATCTAATCAGTAATTGACACTATCTGAAAAAGTGATTTGATAAACTGCTCTTATCCAAAAAAGGATTTCAATATTGTTTTTTTCTGATTTCTGGTTACTTAATTCTGCTTTTATTAACTTTACATGAAGCAGAGGAACACATGTTTAGAATTATATTTTAAAAGTAGACTTTCAATAACAACATAAATAATATCTGTCAATATTGTCAATAATTAAATTGTCAATAATGAAAATATATTTTTGATTATTTGCTGTAAAATGTTTTGTATTTGTGAAATAATATAATTTCAGTTTCATGAAGTTCACTGTTTTAGCTAGCAGCAACTCAAGTCAACAGCTCAACCCAGAAATAATCTTACAGCTATATTTTGATGGAGTGTCAACAAGATGTCAGCCTTGGGCCTTTGTAAAAACAGAGACTTTTTTCATTTTCAATCTTTTGTCTTACAAGCCATGTCCATATTTAGAGTTATCATGATGGGCTAAAGCTTTCTTTAGTGATTGATAATAAGGCTATTCCCTGATTTCCTTTTGCCTAACTTGCCAGGTCTAATTATTTTCAAACAGGAAATTGACAATTCGGTAACTTGTCTGTAGAGAAGAGGATGAATGATACCTTCTAGAATATGAGGATCAGAACACTTGTCAGAAAAGTCACGCTAATTTGTGTCAACAAATGGACTGTAAGCCTAAATATAATACCTGAAGGCATTGTCATTTCTTGAACCCTTTTGTCAAAATCCATGCTATCATTCATACAAATTATTTTTAGATCAGCATCTTTGTTTTAAGTCATTTTCATTTAAAGAAATGTAAACTAATGTTATCCTACTTTCTTCAGGATAAAAATACTAATAATTTGAGAAATGTTCACAGTTTTGTTTCAGGTAATATACAGTTGCATGCTTATTTTTGGGCACCCCTAGCCAAATTATATGTTTTGTTGAGTGAAAATAAATTAACACATGCACTGCATGTTTGAGATCTATCCACAGATTTTCAATAATATTCAAGTCTAGGGACTGTGAAGGCCATTCCAAAACCTTAATCTTTTGTTTCTTGAATTTTCGTGGTTGATTTTGAAGTTGTTTTGAGGCTGTTTTGGATCATTGTCTTGTTGTAATATCCCACCTCTTTTCAGCTTCAGTTTCTTCACTGACTGACTTAGCTTCCAGGATTTGTTGATATTTGTTGATTCTTCTCTCTACCCGCACAGTACTTCCTGTCTAATGAGGCCTAATGAGTCAATTAAGTTCTGAGACCTTACAATAAAGTAACACTGGTGGATCAACTGGATCAAATGTTTGCACATGCCACATTTATTTTTTTCAATCTGTTGAATTCAGCAAATAAATAGTAAATGTGCATTCAAATTTGCAGAAATATATCAAGTTTAAGTTTGCTCGCTGCACAGGGTATGTTAACTTCTTTTCACTTTGAAAATCAACAAAACATGTTATTTGGCCAGGGGTGCCCAAATTTTGGCATACAGCTGTAGAATTGATGCTGTCATGCAGTGATATTAGCTATGAGGATCACAAATAGAAATGTATCCGTTTTTTTACATATAAAAAGTATAATATTAATTCAAAGTGCATTCTCACTCACCATTTTAATTGACAAAAATCAAAAAAATTCCAGGACAAAAATTATATATTTCTTATCACTAGAAAAATATATATTTCCTACTTTGAAACTAAACATAAGGTAATTATATCACACATGGACCAATGGTGGCCAGAGATACAGTATTGTGATAGAGGATGTGCTATTTGTTATTAAAGCTTCATGGCATGTTAACTCTTTAAATCTACAGGTGAAATAATTTCTCACTTATCCTACTGATCTACAGTGGAGTGGGAGTCTGGCACAGGTGAGTTCTGTACTTTAGTGCTGGATGAATTGGATCCCTCATATACTGTACATTAGGTTCTGTATGTGCTTTGAATTTTTTTGTGATGACAAGCACTACTATATGTAAATGCAAAGAATTATCGTACCCATTACACTTAATAAGCTGAAAACACCAAGGCTCTGCAATCAAGAAAAAAACACCTCTCTCCTGTCTTTGTTTTGCCATATTCATGAGAGCTTTACAAAATTATTAAAAAACAGCAAGATCCAGTTAAAGAAAAAGCTTACAATAATTGCCAGCACAGGTTAATACAGATACTACAAAGGTCAAGAAGGAAAATGATACGAATTCTGCCATCCATAGAGTCTAAAATACAACAGCAAAAGAAATGACAGTGATGAAGTAAAATATCTAGGACAAAAATGGGAAACTTCTAGACAATGAAAGGGAAATGGCTGACGTACTAAGTTAATAATTCACTTAGTTGTTCATTAAGGAAGAAGGCAATCAACATGTTTCAGGAAATGGAATGACAATGTTACTCCAGAGCTAACCGGAGTAGACAGTAAAAGGACCCTATGCAGTAGCTTATAAGAGTTCAAGGACTGAAGGGTCAACGAACCAGGTGTACTTAACTGTAAATCGAAATCTGAAAGCCATGGTCAGGAAGAAGCAGTGTCCAGGAACCAGTAACACATGAAAGGTAAACTCTCAGGAAGCGCGGAAGTGAGGCTCACCAGGAAAACCCAATACTGAGCATCAAGGTAACTGTGGATAGCCCTAAAGTATCCTGAAGCTGGGAGGTGTGGTAGTGAGCGGGAAAGCAGATTGGTTAATTAGTCCTAAGGTCTACGCCTTCACGAATTGGCAGAGCTGGAGGCATATCTCTGATTGCGGGAGACTGTAACATTACCCACCCCTTCAGAGGTGGCTCCTGACACCTTAGCGAGACGATTGGGAAATTACGGTGGAAATCTTGGATAAGGGTACAATCCAAAATGTCTTTTTCTGGTAAATATGAACGTTCATCGGGACCATAACCCTCCCAGTCAACCAGATATTGCAAGGAACCACGATGCCAGCGAGAATCCAGGATCTTATTAACGGTATAGGCCGGGAGACCACCTGAGGTGGTGAGGTAACAACGTGTAGCCTAGGGACCTCTAATCACCTTAATAATTAACCAGAGTCCACAAGTGGAAACTATGTGTAAGAGGTAGTTCTTTACCCAAAGGGTGGTGGGAGTTTGGAACAAGCCCCCAGATATTTTCTTGAAGCCAATACCTTTGTTTCTGAACTACTTAAGACCAAACAGGCTAGTTGGGCTGAACAACTGACAATGGTTTCCCATGGTCCAGGGTCGATATTGCTAACCTTCATCTCACGTTTTAAGACATCTTTGTATCACAGAGCAGGTCTGGTGCCAGTGGCCAGCTCACCATACAGCATGTCCTTTGGTATTTAGCCGTCTTCAATTTGGCTTACATGGCCGAGCCAGCACAGGCGTTGCTGAGACAGGAGTGTGAACAGACAGCAAAGATGGAAGGAGTTGAGGCAACGCTACTGCCGGGTGTACAGGGTCGAAGTCTTGCTGTCATACAATAGTGTACTAAGCACACAGGACTGGTACACTTTTATCTTAGGCCAAACTCACTGCAGGCATGTGCAAAACTATTGATGAATCTCTGGAGACCTTCCTCAGAGTGTGCAACCAGAGCAGCGTCGTTGGCAAATGGCATTTCCCTGATCAGAACCTGGTGAACCATCGTCTTTGCCTGGAGTCTCCCCAGGTTGAAAAGCTTCTCATCACTTCTAGTCCGAATGTAAACACCATCCTCGGAGGAACTGAAGGCATATGAAAGCAACAAGGAGAAGAAGATGCCAAAGCGTATTGGGGCAAACACGCAGTCCTGTTTTACCCCGCTGTTGACCGGGAAAGTATCTGAGAATTAGCTGTCGTGCTGCACAGTGCCCTGCATGTTTTCATGGAATGATGGAATCATCCCAAGAAGTTTAGGCGGGCATCCAATCTTATGGAGGAGGGTGAAGAGACCTGTTCTGCAGACAAGGTCAAAGGCCTTCGTCAGGTCAATGAAGGCAATGTACAATGGTCTTCTCTGTTCTCTACACTTCTCCTGGAGCTGCCACAGTGAGAAGATCATGTCAATGGTTGATCTCTTTGCCCTGAAGTCACACTGAGATTCAGTTTACATGCAGGCAGCATGTAGCTGCAGTCTATTTAGAACTACCCAGGCAAATACCTTGCCAATGATACTCAGGAGGGAAATTCCTCGGTGGTTATTGCAGTTACTACCATCTCCTTTGTTCTTATACATGGTTACTATTTTAGTGTAGTGCATGTCTTGAAGGACCCATCCTTCTTCCCGGCACTGGTACAGGAGTTCTTGGAGATGACTGAGCAAAACTATCCGTTTACCGGCCTTTATGACCTTGTGTGGAATGCCGTCCTTTCCTGGGGCTTTGCTGCATGCAAGGGAGTCAATGACCTTAACAATGTCATCTACCATTGGTAGGTTATTGAGGTCTTCCATGACAGATGGGTTCTCAATGCTTTCTCAAATATCTATATTGGCTGACCCCAATTGAAGTCCTTTCCAGGTGGATGCTGCACATTGGTGGTGGTGGAGGGGAGTCCCCATTACCTGTAAAGCGCTTTGAGTGGAGTGTCCAGAAAAGCACTATATAAGTGTAAGCAATTATTAATTATTATTATTATTTCTTCATATATTTTATGTCTAAACATTGGATTTTTTTTCTGAACACATTGTCTGCTGTTTCGCTTGTCAGAAGGTGTTGCTACATTTGTTTTATGTAATGTATATTGTTCACAATCTGACAAGTTTATAAACTAATATAATTCCACCACATTCAATGTCATTATGTCAGCTTGAATTTGAGCAGGAGTATGTCCTTGAGGCTGAATAAATAAAATAAATTTTATTTATTTGAAATACTCAATAATATAAGTTTAGGAAACCTAATAAAAGTTGGATTGTAATGAATATCTGTAATGAATAACTCATTTTTGAATGAAATATTTGTGAATCAACAGACTTCAATAAATACAGTACATAACATTACATACATTACAGCATTGATAATTGAGGAGAAGGTAAGTTTTTATTATTATTTTTGTATTAACAGTTCATTGGTAAGCAGTAGAAGAAATGTGCTAACCTGGTCTCCTGGCATTTCTGATTTCACGAACAAACATTCCTTTCAAGCCAGCCTGTAGCCTTTTGGCTGCTTGTATTTCTTCATAAGTGGGCTCTCTGTTGTACCATGAGTCTGGCACTTCAGTCCTATGACCTAGAAAATATATTTTGTTCCGCAGAATTTCTTTAAGATTCTCATTTGTTAAAAAATATTGTGTATAGAAATGTGCCTATATCTATGGAAGCCCGTTTCCGCCAGGGAGTAAAAAAAACGAGCTATGGTATCTCGCAATTGCGACTTAGAAACTCAGAATTGAGACTTTATATATCAGAATTGAGACTTAAAATCTCAGAATTGCAACTTTATATCTCAGAATTGTGACTTTATATCTCAATATTGCGACTTTTTATCTCACATTTGCAACTTCAAAATGGCCCACATTTCATTGTCTGTCATTTTTTGTAATGGATTTGGGCTTGTGCCCTCGCCGCTCCCACCCTAGTTCGTGCCACACTGCATTGGCTCGAACCCAAGTCTTGCCAGCTGAGTTAAAGAAGACCTTCTTTTTTAAGTAAAAAAGGAACTGTACCAAGATTGCTTTGGATAGATTTCCAGAATGTTATTGTTAAACATTTAAAGGTAAATGTTAAATGTAAAGATTTTTATATTTTATATTTTTAGATTTAGATCTGATTTGGATAAAGGATATGTTCTTATTATTAATCTGTTAATTATGTTGGCGAAATACTTCATCCACAAAAGTAAATGGTCTAATACTGCTCCCCCTATTAATGCTTTTAAAGTACAATTCCTTTTTTACTTTTAAATTTAAAGAATCAAAAGGGAAGACATACAATGGAAATATGTAAAAAGTATAAGTTTCAGCTTGTACAATTGTGAATTCCTCTGGATGTCAAGTGTCTATTTCTGTATCTTTTTTTCCATATGCTGTCTTCTTTTTTGTATTTCTGGTGTTTAAATAAAAACTTTTTTAAAAAGCCCACCGTCCTCTATTCCATCCAGGTACTATGGATTTCCCTGGGGGAAATGGGATTCCATAAAAACTAATGTAATTCATTTGATTTTTGTTATTGGATAACCAAATCCATTTTCCAATTACAAAAGGACAGACAATGATACAGTATGTGGGCCATTTTGAAGTCGCAAATGTGAGATATAAAGTCGTAATTCTTGGTTTTTAAGACGCAATTCTATAAAAACCACAAGCACAAGGTAGTATTATATTGTTTTTTTTTATTTTGAAAACTGTAATTTGTAGAAAGCTATACCATTTGCAAATGGAGAGTTTACTACATAGAATCAACCTTTTAAGCACCGTTTCATGTAGATGTAAATTCCATTTTGGTTATCCTTACCAAATAAAAAAATACTTTTGTTCCAAATTATATATCAGTTTTGAAAAGCTATTAGATAGTCAATGAATGTTGCCACAACACTCCTGAGGAGACATTAATCATGCAATTAATATAATTTTTATATCCCCGGGCCATTTGCTGTCAATCCACTTGCCTCATTCTGCACTGTCTTAGAGAACAATTTGAAGTGAAAGTTAAATGATGGTCAGGTTTTGCACTTATATTGACAGATCCTTTGGATCCTCAGATATCCTCAGAAGTCCTTGCTTAGTGGCAAAATGGGAATCTGATAACTTTGCCCTCCCTAATCCTATTGTAGCCACAGTCAACTGAGTCACTCTAGACTTAAACCTGGTTGTATCCTGTATAGGATGAGGTCCATGAAAGGGTACTTTGCTGAGGTCAAGAAAGGTAACCAAGTAGATGAACATGAAAATTTCACATTACCTAGACTCTTGTTTTCCTGAAGGCCACTTCCAATGGCAATATCATATGTAAAAGCCCGAATAGCAAACTTTTCATCACGTGTCAAACTATGCCCCAGTGCTTTTGTAATTGTGTGGTACAGAGCATTATTGAAAGCCTGTGTGATGAGAAAGCACTTTTAATTTAACAAATTTGTAATTAAAAAAGATAAAATAAAGCATGCATGTTAGAGAAATAGGTTGGAAAATGGAGACATTATAAAAGAGAATCACTTGAAAACAAGCTTACCTCTGCATTTAAAACTCAATTACTATTGTGTTATAGTGTACAATATCTGGAGAATGTTTCATGGAATAAATAGTTCCACTGTCATTTGTGCATATTTATAAAGAAACTGTTGTTGACAAAAGTTACAGAAAAAAAAACTCTAAGTGAAAGAAACCAATTAATTATTTAATGATTTTTTTAAATAGTCTTTTCCTAACAAATTTTACAAACTTCTGACTATATAATTAGACTTCACTCTACTATGAAAATAGCAAGTTAGATTATTAATTAGGTATTTTTTTAAATTAACTCTTTTTTAACTTAAGTAAAATATTAAAACTTTTAAATTAAATTTTAAATTTTAAATTTATACTTATTGCAGTATGATTGTATTTTCCATAACTGTCATTATAAGAGGTAACCAATATAGTAAACCTGTTATACTGTACCTCGCAGTGGGTTTTCACCTTTCCTGTGCCATGGAGCCCTGGAGGATAGTAAGCCAATTCCAGCTCCTTTAGGGCCAGAGGAAGTTTATGCTCATCTGAGAAGTTATTTACCACTTTTCCAACAGCCTTCATGATAACTTTAGCTTGTTCTATAAAACTCAGGCTTTCCTAAAAAAAGAAAGAATTTTCTGAAAGCTATTATTTTGCATGCATCACTGTTTTATAGAAGCATTCACCAACATTTTGATTTCTGTAACTTTTACAGATACAGATCTGAGGATTTTACCAGGCAACTGAAATGATTTTCCCCAGTTGGTATGGTATGCTTGGTATTCCAAGAAAGATACCTGCAGAAATTATAATTATCCTGTATTATAGCCAATGCAGTCCTTAAGTTAAGTTAAACCAAGCCAATCCGTTATTTTTCTGGTAGGCTCTTGTACTTAAATGGGTCAAATGACTAGTATCATTTTGATCTTACTACCGTACTCTAGTTTTATACATTTTCATAGATTGTAGATCACACATTTCAAATTTACTTTTTAGCAGGAGAGAATTATTCTACAGTTATAATCAAGCTATGGTTTTCAGTTATTATTCATTCAAAAATATTATTTGATTCTTAAAGTTCTATCTTTCACTAGCACAATTGTGATTTACAGAACTCTTTGCAGTTTACCTTTCATTTAAATAGACTGTAAATATAAAGGAGGTCTTATATTTTTATGTTGCAAATATGTGTGTAATAGGGGTAATGCATAGTCTGTAAATTGTTTTTGGCAATTAAATTTCCTCTGAGATCATAGGGCACTAAGTTGTCCAAGAAGGTGGCAATTAAGATTCTGTCATGGCACACTCAGAGGGGTGTTACACTTCATACAGTATATTAACTTAGGATGTCTGAGTATTACTATAAGTATGCTACAGTATATTTACTAGAATACGTAGCTGCATACTTCTTATTACTATAAAGGTTTTAAAGAGCATTCATCTCAAAGACCATTACACAGAAGTTATTGCTGTACAGCTTTTCATTTACAGTATAAGGAGGATCCATTTTCTCATCAATATCTGCTAAACATTTTTAAAAGAAGCGACTTCTGCACCTCCTTAACTTAATTTAGCAATCTCCAGTCCTCTATTAAAAGGAGAACAAATTTTGACAGACATCAACATAGGATGACTGAAGTGTACTGTATATGAAGAACTGTTCATAGAGAATTATTTCATAGATAATTATTTGCATAATATGAAAACAGCAAAACATTTTTATGCTATCACATTCTTCTTAAAACAACCGTTCCCAACTGTTCACTACAGAAAATTCTTCTGTTCATGTTGAATAAATTCAGAGCTAAATGTTGCATTTAAAACAACAATAGAAGCATTGAATAGACAAATGCTTCAGTGGAGAATGAACAGCTTGACAATTGTAATGCCTGCAGTTGCTATGGAGATGCATACCTTGTCAAGGTTTGGCATGATAGTTTCCTCATCACCAAAGACAAATGGCAGGGTACTGCACAGGTGGATGTGGTATCCAAGGGGAGATCTAGCAGTGAAGCGTAATACATAGCGACTGACACACAAAAAAACAAAACAAATATCTCAGGCATGCCAAACACTGTACAGTATATGCTTTAAACATACTGTATTTCATCTTACAGTTGGGCACAATTCATTGGAATCTACTGTATATTTCAGCAAAAGTGTCAATAATGACAAAATAAGATAAAAATATTTAGAGTCTAAAATATTTAAAGTTTTAACAAAAAGAATAAAAAAGTAAAACAATTATTGAAACACTGAATTATGAAATTCAGGAAAACCTTACATTTCTCTAAACAAGTTAATTTCACATGTATGTTCAGATAGAATATTACTACAGAATAGTGAAGAAAAGGTTTAGTTCTTTAATTCTGTGAACTCAGAATCTAGGTTTAACATCCTCTGGGACACTGATCCATATTTAGAAACTGTGACATTTATTTGAAGCTAAAAGACATACTGTTGTTCCCTTGAACCACATAAAAACATACCATGTTAACTTTTTCAGTTCAATAAGGATGTGTGGATTGATGTGTTCAATCAAGATAAATATAATGAACAAGTTAAAAGCATGATTTTAACATGGTCAATGCACAATTTGTAAATTCACCAACCATAAAACCCTAAAGTAAAGGTAAGATGTGGCAAAACATGTTTAAATACTCCCACCAGAAATAAGTCTTTCTATTTGTCTTGGTAACCAATTTTGCATAAAGTACATCCTTTTGCTCACTGTGCATTTGGACAATATATCCTGGACTGTGGATTCATGTGTGATTTTTAAAATACAAACAAAATGGATTTTTATTTTATTATCCGAATCTAATCTCCAAGTCTCTCCTTTGCAAAAATGGAGACTTATTTTAATTCTCATACAGTAATCGTGTGTTTTATACACAACACAGTGAATTTGCAGAAACCTTAGTTAAAATGGTTTTATTGAGATGATTTGTGAATATCAATTACAGTATATATTGTAAATGTCACAATGGATAGTCCAATTACAGCAAAATCAGCATCTACTTCTTAAAATGTTGCAATTAAAAAATATTTTACTATAGGTATATTTGAATAGAGTTTATTGCATAAATAAGTGCTAAACAAATCACAAAATGTGAATCAAGGTAGTGAGGTACAAATATAGCAGTATACAGCAATATACTATCATAAAGAAATAACTGAAAAAAGACTATCTTCTTACCCAGGAGGAAGTATCAATAAACTTGCTTTTGTAGCAAAGGTACGAATCTGTAGAACAGGTGGCTGAGCTGTCAGACATTTACAGGAAAATGGTTCGACAATTATCAAACCAGACTGTTGAAGGCTACTGTCCTTCTCTAAAAATAAAGTATAACAGATCAAATTAATCTTCAATTAGACACTTACTGACTTTTGGAACAAAATAAGAACATTGTTTCAAAGTTTAGAGTTTTGCTGATGCATGCTTGGCTTATGTAATGAACTAAAGGATGAGAAATGTGCATTTTAAAATCACACAACCGGACTTTGATATGTCAAGTGAAAAATAGAAAAAAAGAACAGCTAAGTTGAATAAAATAAAAATACCTAAAACATGAAATTGCTTAAATCATTTCTTATATAATATTTAAACATAACAGATAATGTATGTGTCTACTGTATATTCATATTGAAATTCATATTGAAATTCATTAAATTTCCTCTGAGATCATAGGGCACTAAGTTGTCCAAGAAGGTGGCAATTAAGATTCTTGTCTAGTTGTAAGCTGCCATGATGCCAGCTTACAACTAGACAAAATACATTTCAGTCTTTTACACACTACTGTATTTTCTCTAGTCATAAAGTTATATGAATAAAAAAAAAGGTTTGAGAATCTGACTATGAAGAGAATCTAAAGTCAGAAATAGGACTTTTTTCATCTCAGATTTTGGCAAACATGTTGTCTGCTCCTCGCCCTCATCTTGTGATGTTCAATTAACAACCTTCTGATCCTAAACAAGAAACACTGATTTTAATCCCTGAAAGGTAATGTTATGGATCAAATGTGCAATGCAGGGGTACAGATAATCCCTAAAAGAAAATGGGAACTGGGGAATACAACAGTTTTTCGGGTGTGTTTTGAATTCATGTCACTTTCTTAACTGCCGAACTGGAAAGACAGGTATATATTTTTTCCCAACTCTTTAGATTTTCAGTTCAAAGCAGTCAAAATCAGCAGTGATAATGCACTTGAACTGGATCAATAATACTACCCCATACACCAATACAGTGCCACACACATTAGCATTATAAAATGGCTAATGATTTTATTCCAACTCATGATTCCTGGTTTTCTTAGGTACTGAATACAGGAAGAACAACCAACCTTTGTCATATATGTCCTTGCTTTCATTTCCAGCCTCTCCCCCGTGCACCAATGCAGAGAAGCTTATTAAGATTTCTGTTGGTATCAAGCTGTCCACAAACAGGAAATGAGACCCCTTTTCATCTGGTGACTGAAAACATTACTTGTGTTATTCTTCATTGTGCTTTGTTTCCATGTTTTTGTTTAGAAAGCAGAATTGAGTGCATCTCCCGCACAAACATGCAAGTATCTTGGGAAATCAAACCACAATGCTTTCTGTTGAATGCCATACCCGATGCAGCATGAAGCCATTCTGCTTATCTTTAGAGATTATCTGACACCTCTGTTGAGAAATGTACATTGTTTATTGGAATTACAAATAATTCTGTATTAAGTAGCTCATAAACAGGTATTAGGTGGCATCAACACAGAAGTATCAATAACACTCTCTCACAACACAGTGACATTTTTAAAATGTCTCAGATGTATTCAAGTAAATCAGCAGCAGTTTTTCTAAATTGTGCATTCTTGCGCAAATCAGACATACAAAGGTAGTGCTATTTTTGCTTTATAATATTTATTTAAAATAAGTAATTCAATGGTATAAAAGAAATGCACATATGAATGCACAACAGCCCAATAGTGAATCTTAGATGAAACAAAGTTAAGCAATGTGTTTAGACTGTTACTAGTTTTCTACGATGGACCAGATACACTAAAACTGTGATGTAAATGGTTATTTTAAGGACATTTCTAAAAGGAAAAGTATTTCTTCCCTTGTTTAATATAACTGAAGTTGTTTATTGAAAGCCTTTTCAGAAAATGTTTGTGGTTTTCTTTCACTGAATAAAATACATTTACATTACAAATCTTTAATATCTTTACTGCTCTGGATAACAGTCATTCATTTTTCTGTTTTACGCAGGCCACTAGACGGAGAAATAACAGTGAGCAATCACAGAAAGAACAGGGTATATACTTAGACACCCAGAATTCCAATCATGTGATGGTATTGTTACAGCTATACAGTAGGTGACTAAGAAGTGTCTATAAGAGTTTAGATAAAGTGTGTGAGAGGAAAAGGAAGGAGAGACCAGAAGAGAGGAGTCAGGAGTTGGAAGCTTGAGCCAGATGAGAGCCCCTACTTCATGATCATCCAAACAAAACCTTATTGCTTGGTCTTTGCTGTTTTTGGGAACTTGGGTTTTCTGGGTAAAAGATAACTTGGTTAGAAACGTCTTTCCTGCTTGTGGATGCATTTTTAGAATTGGGAGATAGGCTTCTATTTATTTTGTGGCATCTGGATTTGGAGAGAGAGATTTAACTGCAGGTTGTATTGCATTTAATAAGAAGGCAGCTTGTTTCTTACTGTGAGCTCTGTGGACATTATTTAAGAGTTGAACAGTAGCAGTCTGAGGTTTTCTGGGTGATTAGGCCTCTGGAATGCTTTGATTGTACATACAGTAAATATAGTAACTTGTACGTTGTTTTGTTGTGTGTAGCATAGTGTTTGTCTGTTTGTCATTGTTAATAAACATTTGTTGAACCAAGTGTGCCTGGATTATTACTCTTTTCACCAAAGCTGTGCAAGAGAATAAAGAATTAATGTGTCTCTAATTATACCAGCTGTTCGGGTATATTCTGGAGAAATCACTTACAAGTTGGGGGGTTTTGAATATTTATTTTATTGACTAAACCACTCAGCCAAATCCTGATTTTCAGCATTTTCATAACCCCCCATTTGTAACACTTGGATAAAACTGTAAAATGCACTAGTAAGAAAAATCTCAACATTTAATAGTGAATCCTTAAGTAGATGACACTATGGTCAAATATGGAGTATGTGCATTTAAAACTGAGAACTGAGAAGAAGGATCTTCTTTACATAAAGTTTTGTTGGAGCATGGAACATGCTGCCCAGTCCTTTTATTGAGGCTGATATTCTAGCTTCCTTCAAGAAACTTTTGGATGAGTTCCTTGGATCAATTAACTACTGAAGAAATAAACAAAAAAGATAGATGGGGCAAATGACACCCTTGCATTTGTAACAATTCTTATGTTCTTATAAAAATAACAAAAAAGGAAAAAATCCCTTTAACTCCTAAAACACTATAAGGCATTTGTTGTTGGTTTTTTGAAGACAAAACACAGCTTCATATTTCTTGCCATTTACAAAAATTGCTTTCTGATTCAGAGACAACTTTAATATTATGAATAGATGCACATAACAGTGAGAAAACCACAAATACAATATAGCAAGTAAAAACAAGCAGTAGTATACACAGGATGCAGTTATCCTTTAAAACATATTTGTGAAAACTGAGTGCTACAGAGTATTTGGTTCACTTTGCTTGGGACTTTAGGGAACATGACGCTATGGAAAATGGTGTAAACCAAACGGAAGTAAATTCACTAGTGTAATCCAAAAAGTGTGAAATACTTTCCAGTGTTATAAAATTGCCACCAGCATACCTGCAGATGACATACCTCCCTGTCTTTTCTAAGGGAAAATGTTAGAACATAAGAAAGTTTATAAAGAGAGAAGGCCATTTTGCCCATCTAGCTCTGTTGTTTTTAGTAGTTAATTTATCCAAGGATATCACCCAGATTGACTGGGTAGCTTGCTCCAGAATAACACAATCCCCTGTATAAAGAAATGCCTCCTGTTCTCGGATTCAAAAGCGCTTCTCTTAGTGTCATCTGATTCATTTTCACTGTTGATTCTAAAGAAGTCCATTGGGTTAACTTTTAAATACCCTTGCGGATTATGAATACTTGGATTAAGTCCTCCATAGTCTTCTATGCTCCCCTTGATCTCTTTTAGGCATATACAAAATACACTGGTCATTGAAGCACGGTTTTGCAATAGAGTTGTATGAATAGGTCAGCTATCATTAAACTTAAAAAAAAACAATAAGGAATAAATTACTGACAATTTAGTATAAGGAAATGTTCTGTTTTTTGGAATGTTTCCTATCCCTTCACCCACGACACAGACAAAATGTGAGACTGACAAAGAAAATTGTTGAGATTAATAAGGACTATGTTCTGATACCCAGAAATGCCAGACGATCTGTGGGAGAAATTTGGAGTTATTTTTAATAAGAACCCACATACACAAAAGAAACAGCCTACTACTAAGTTAAAGGTGCATATAACAAATTTCTATATTTAAAAAAAATGTGTTTGTTTAATTTTTGCCATTTTCATCACAGAAATGAGTGTCTTTACCAATTTTAAGACAGTATTTTGTATACATAGACATACAGTATACATATTTATTAAGTGTTGTACAACAGCTAATGATATAAATAATAAGCAACTGTTACCAAAAACATTAAATATCTGCAGTATTGGAATATGAGTACAGAATTGTGCAGTAGCATATCTATGGTATATGGAACAGATCCCCTGATGCCTGAGAAGGAACACTACATAAATAAAATTATGGAACAACAGAGAACAGATGTGAACACAAAAATAACCCCTATAGTTAATATGAACTGCATCAGCAAATTTATTAAAAAGTAGTTTGTTCTCACAAAAAGTTATTTTAGTTATAAATTAATTTAAGAATTTTAAGTATTAATATACTACAATATAGATTGATTGGCAACATAATTCTGTATTTTCATTGTGCATGTCTTGTGTATTTGTTTTGTTGTCATTCTGTAAAGTGCTTTGAGAGGCCACCTTTAAAGGTGCTATATAAACCCACTACCCTGAGATTATGAGTCTCGTGCTCTACCAACAGAGCTAGTCAGGGCCCCCTGTTATAATTTGTGGGTATAATTGCAAAAGCAATTTCTCTAAACTTGATTTAAAATAAAAAGTTGTAATCTAAACTTTTGATCTAAGACATAAACTTCTATATTCTTTATTAAGGCATCAGTAATGAAAATTAATAAAATGTATAGTGCCTTGGAAAAGTATTCAACCCCTTTCAATGATGTTCCATTTTGCTGAATTACAAACAATGTATACACATTTATGCAAAGTTTTTTATACTTTAATTTCTATAAAAATTCATTGTATTCTGTTGATATGTGCTTTTCTACAATTTTATCCTTGAGTTGTTTACAAAGCTCCTTGGTCTTCATGGTTGAATATTTTATTTAAATTCACTTGCTAACTGAAGGACCTTATAGAAAAGGGTGTATTTATTCTAAAAAAACAGTATTGCACACCAAGGTGAATCAACTAATTGTAACGTGTCAAAATAATATTGTGAACCTGTATTATTTTAGGTTTGCCATAGCAAAGAAAGTGAATATTTATGCAATCAACAAATTTTAGCTTTTATTTTTTCTTTGCAGTTTATCCAGGCATTTAACTTCTCTCACCCATTGAAGTTTGAGCATTCAAGTTTTAATTAAAAAATATTGTTATGGCTGAGAGAAGTACAGTATGGTTAAAGCTAACATTTGCAGTTTTCAGAGCCTAAAAAACAATGAGTAGAAGCCAAGTTGTTTACCAAGCAGTAGATGGGTTGAAAGACAAAGGATCAGAAGGAAACTTGTTTTCCTCTATTTAATTTGCTTCCTGATAAATCATTATTGTCTTCATCAACACACAGAAAGACAGGATAAAAAACAGGACAAGAGGCAGGGGGGAGGAAAGGAATGGAAGAAAAGAGCAGAGTCATACCGGGCAAGAGGACCATCTTTTAATCAGTCTTGGAGATTTGATTCTGGCTACAGATGCAGCCATTCAAAATGCGCGGGCGATACCGCATTATTTTCCGGTGCG